CTAGCTCCTCCCAGGGACAGACATTTATATGTAAGTGGCTGGTGCTATTCCAAATCTTCCGAGTTAACCTTTTAGACCAACTGTCTTTTATAACATCTGTCTCTAAAATTTTGCCCCTTGTTTTACTCCACTATATATTTGTTTAAATAAGTATATCAAGTTTACCATTATTCTTTCACTTGCGCCCTCCATCTCCAAGTCTCTGATCTTACAAACTTAATCAATGTGAAGGCTTGACAATTCTTCCAGACCAATTCATTGTTGGATTGGCATGTCATGGCTTGAGCATAGTTCATTTGATTTTTAGTCCTGTGTTGTAGTGGATTGTGAATTATTATTCTCATTATGTTAATTATTAAGTTCACTACACTGCAGCAGTAATAGAGTACCGTTGTGCTGTGATACAAGGTTTCTGTGTAATATCTGATATGCGGACAAGGAATGAATTTTGCTACACTGTCAATTGTTGTACCTCTTTAGCATTTCTATTGAGATCTCATCTCCAGACCTTAGGGTCAAACTTAGCAACTGTTGCGCATTGTGACATTTGCTATAGTTAGAAGCTTGTTGCTGTTCTTTACTGTAAAAATTGTTATAGGCCTTAGGATTCATCTGTGGAAATCAACATTCTTGGAAGGACAGAGAGCTGAATTTTCAGCTTTCCCCCTATTTTAATTTTGATGGTGATAAAATACATTGGAGCGGAGTGGGCTGATAGTTCAGCAAAGCTTTATAGCTGTCACTGTTCCTTCTCAAGCTGATTTAACAGTTTGCACCCCTTGTTTGGCTTCTCCATTTGGCTGTGGATATCTCAGTGAGCTGATTAAGTGTTAGAAGCTGGAGATGGCTGCAAAGTTGTCAAAAGATTTATAAGCAATGAGATGAGAGTGTCCATCGCCCATAAATAGATCAGTTCCCACTCATTCCTGTGGTATAGGGAGGAATTAATGGCTGTTGGTGTTTAGGTCTGTGTGTGGCAGTCTACACAATCAGCTATTTGCTTTGAGATCCCTAGCAACCATACAGAAGCCCCAGCTGTGGCTCTGCATTTGATAAACTATATCGAGTACATTTGAGGATAATCAAGGACATCAGCACTGAGTGAAGGCAGAATAACCAGTCTATCATTGAATATCAATAAGTCATCTGTAAAGGTGAAATATTGTTCTCAAAGTAAGTCTTAGTCAAACCAATGTGCTTTTTAAAATCCGGTCAACATCTGACATCATACCAAGAGTGATACACTCTGGGGTTTTTTTTTGCTTCTGTCTGATTTGATTGAGTCTGTGCTGTGATGTTGCTGGTCACTGTGCCACCATGGCTTGGGTGCATAGGTTTTGTTTACAAGTCAAGTCTTCAACAGCAGTTTTATGGCTAGCTACAGTTGTTCTGAAGAGGGCATCTGCTTATGTTTGCAGCTTCCTTTTATACATATTTCCTCATAATGTGAAAACATATTCTCTGGATCTTTGGAAGTATCTTTTCCAACTATTTCTTGTCGAAGAGGGCAACTATTGCTTTATAGTCAACCAAAAGACATTTGAGGCCAAGTATGCTTTCTCACTAACTGTGTAATATGTTTCAGTGTCAGAGAATACTCTGGACGTATAATATATTGTCCTCCCACATTCTTCTGGTTGTTTCTGAAGGTGCCATATTTAAAAGGCCATTGTGTATTCAGGCGGGCACTGTCAATCAGATCTATCCTGCATCATTCCTGATATTTGCCCCAGTCTTAGTAGACAAGGCAGAATTCAGTGTCATGCTTTGCAGGTGTGGTCCTGAGGTTGCCAACCATGTTAGAGCTGTCCCACTCTGCCAGTGTAAGCACCATCTTCTTCTCTCTGATAACTCACACTCAGTCTCTGTGACTGTATTCAAATCTCATTAAGTTCTACTGCTCTTGCTAATGCATGCAACAACTTCCCCACTCGCCCTCACACACCCTGACCTGCAACACCACTAACCCTGCAAAGTCTCTGCACAGCTTTCCACTCATTTGAGAAACCTCTCCACCTGAACCAACAGTATCTGTGCCACTCACTTCCATTTCTCATGGAGCATACCCACCATATAAGTGGCTGGAGTCCTACATGGATGTCTCTTGGACCAAGCTCTCACTTCCCTGTTGAGCTTTCCTAACAGTACATTTGTATGGCCAGTTTGGTAAGATTGCAACCTGTAATGAGTTGAGCTGTTAAAGTGTTCTAACAAGCAACTAGCATCAATTAGAAACTTGCTACTGTCTGTGGTGAGACTCTTACAGGAGTCAGTGTTGGGACCACAACTATACACATTATACAATAATGATCCAGACAAAGGAACTTAGGGCATTGTTGTGAGGCTACAAATGATACAAAAATATGTGGAGGGACAGGTAGTATTGAGGAAGTGGGGAGGCTGCAAATGGACTTGAATGGGCTAGGAAATCGGGCAAAGAAGCGGCCGATGGAATACAATGTGGGAAAGTGAGAGATTATACACTTTTGTAGGAAGAATAGAGATATAGCCTTTGCCAAATGAAGAAAGGCTTTGGAAAGCTGAAGCACAAGGGATTTTGGAGTCTTAGCGCAGGACTTTACGGTTAACATTCAGATTTCATTGGCAGTTAGGAACTGAAATGCAACGTTAGCTTTCATTTCGAGAGCGCTAGAACACAACAACAAGATGTACTGCTGAGACTGTATAAGGCTCTGGTCAGACTGCATTTGGAATATCGTGAACAGTTTTGGGCCTTGTATCTAAGGAAAGATGTGCTGGCATTGGATAAGGTCCAGAGGATGTTCACAAGAATACTTCCAGGGATGAAGGGCTTGTCTATAGTCTGGGGATTAGAAGGATGGGGGATGGAGTGTCTGATTGAAACATAGTGAGGGGCCTGGATAGTGTGGACGGGCAGAAGTTGTTTCCAGTAGGAAACTAGAACCGGAGGGCACAGTCTCAGAGCAAAGGGACAACCCAAACTGAATATAGAAAGAATAAGGAGAATGAAAGAAAATAAGTACTCAAAGATAAAATGAGAAAATACCAGTAGCTAACACAAAAGGGAATCAAAGTTTTCATAAGCGTCTAAATAATAAACTAGTCTTAAGTGGAACAGTGGTTTTGGTTAGGGACCAAGAAGCAGATCTATGCATGGTTTCCGAGGGTATGGACGAAGTACGAAATTAGTTTTATACCACGTCTTTGCTGTCAAAGTCATAGCAAAGATACAGTTGAGATGTTACTGTGGCTAAAATAATCTGGCAATATTAATTAAAGGCTGGTTGATCTTAAAATTGTTATATCAGGACAAGATGTGATGTCTCCAAGGTTGCTGAGGAAAATATGGATGTACTAGCCATAAACTTCCAATCTTTATTTGGTACAGAGTGATGCCAGAGGGCTGGAAAATTTCCTGTGATAAATCATCATTTTAAAAAAAACCTAGCAACTCTCACAAACTAGCCAGTTTAACTTCAATGGTGAGAAATCTTTTAGAAAGGGACTATTTGGGACAAAAATTACATCACTTAATTAAGTGTGCATTAATTAAGGAATAGGGGAGGCAATGGCCTAGTGGTACTATCGCTGGACTGTTAATCCAGAGACCCAGATAACATTCTGGGACCCAGGTTTGAATCCCACCACGGCACATGGTGGAATTTGAATTCAACAAATATCTGGAATTAAGAATCTAATGATGACCATGAATCAATTGTCAGAAAAACCCATCTGGTTCACTAATGCCCTTTAGGGAAGGAAACTGCCATCCTTACCTGGTTGGGCCTACATGTGACTCCAGACCCACTGCAACAAGGTTGACTCTCAACTGCCTTCTGGGCAATTAAGGATGGGCAATAAATGCTGCCTAGCCAGTGACGCCTCATCCCATAAATGAATAAAGAAAAAAAAACCCAACATAGACTGGCATAAGAAAAACTGATCAACTAACTTGATTAAGACTTTTTTTAATTGAGACAATAGGGAAGGTTAATGCAGTTGATATAGTTTCTATGAACTTCCCAAAGGTTTTTAGTAAAATACCACACGATAGACTTGCCAGCAACGCTGCAGCATGGATATGAATTTGACTGAATGACAGGAAACTGTAGGAATGAACGGTTGTGTTTTCTAGGGATCCTACTAGAATCACAGCTTCTCTTGGTATAGTTGAATGACTTAGATGTACAATTTCAAAATTTGAAGGTGGCATATAACTTGGAAATATTGTCAACTGTGAAGATAAGAATAAGACTTCAAGAAGATTTAGGCTTGTGGAGTAGATCGATAAATGAAAGGGAAGTTTAATGTAGACAAGTATGAGGTCATGCATCTTGGTGGGAAGAAAGAAGAGAGCCAATATAAACGAAAGGATATAGTTCTAAAGGCGATGAAGAACAGCAGAATCAGGGGAGATACACAAATTACGAAGGTGATGAGTTCAGAAAGTGATCAAAAATCAGTATCCAGGATCCTGAGCTTCATAATAGAGGAATACAGCATCAACGTCAGGAAATTATGGTGAACCTTTCCTAAACTATTGGCTTGGCCTCAACTAATGTTTTGTTTTTGGGTATTGAACCTAACGAATGCTGTGTAGGCTTTAAAAGAGGTTCAAAAATATTTACAAGAATAGCTCAAGGATGTAGGAGTTCAATTTTGTGGATAGATTGGAGAAGCTTAGTTTGTTATCCTCAGTGAAAAGATATTAAGATGTTCAAAATCATGAGGTGTAGAGAAACTGTCCCATTAGTGGAAAGCTTGGGAACCAGAGAACATAAATAATGAAAGGTAACATGAGGAAAACCCTTATTTCAGAATGAATGGTCAAAATCTGCAATACAGCCCAAAAAACTGTTGGAGGTAGATTCAAATCATTGCTCTCAAAAGAGAATAGAAAAGCAGGAACAGTTGCCTCCTTGGGTGTGTTATAAACATTTGACAATTCTATGAACAAGCAAAACACTATTTCAAAGTGATACAAATAGCAAATTTTCATGCAAAAAAAAAATCTCACACCAGAGCCCAAAGGTTAATTTATTAAGCAAAGGAACATTAATTAAAATTGCAGCAAAATATATAATTGGTGGACAGAAACTGATTTATCATGCCTATTAAAAGAGAAGACAGAAAATATCAAACCATTTACATGTTCTCCCTCAAACTGCTCCATTCAATGACATGGTTTGGAATTGGAACGAATAAATGACCGTTTGAAACCAGCAAACAGCTAAAGAGCCAAAATTTGTATTTTTTGAATTTTGCACAGATTGAAGGATATTGTTGCTCAGAATTAAATCCTTTGCATTTTAGTCATTTTTCCTAAATCATTCACTCCCAAGAACACTACTTCTCTACACCAACAATGTGATATTGACAGTTACTCTCAACTGAGCTGTTACTGGGCACTGAATTAAATTGAACTTAGACTGCCCAAAATTAATCATAGTTAGACTGAAGTAATTTCCATATTTTCAACCTAGGATATATTTGCATGCAAGTCCCAAAGGTGAAAGGCAAAGCCATCGAGACCCTTAATCACATAGTTTGAACAATGTTGAACAAGAGGAAATTGCGCTCTTCAGAGTCTCTGTTCACTTTCTTCCATTAGTTCATTTGATATGGTCAAAAGTAAGAAAGTCTCTCTTTATTCATTTACAGAATGTCGATTTTTAAAAAAAAATCATGTTTCTGTCATTTCTTCTGTTGTTTCTTTCGATTATCAGATATACACGAAGTCACTGTAAAACATTTAGTTGGTGCTGCTATTCTGCAAAGTCTGCATATACTCATTATACCGTTCCTCTTGGACTTCATAAAGTTTTCGAAGCTTCTTGGTCTGACCCTTGCTAAGCTCTTTGCCCTCAGCATCATGAGTTGGAAACCCCTTGGAGAAAATAAATAACATTAGAATTAAAAGTTAAAACAAATTCTGATGAACAACATCAAGAAAGCACATAATGAAAAAGATCAATTTTGGCCAGCTCTTTTGCCCCTACAATAAGCAATTCACTGATTCTTAAATCTAAGTCACTCATATGGCCTTTGTACAATTCTATAGTTTTTCTCCCCCCCGCAGATAACACTGTGCAAATCTGCTGCATTTAATAAGTGGCTAAGTCAAATCGATAATTTATGCCCCAGTTCCATTGCAGTTGTACACTTCAATTATATTCAATGTATCTTATTTAACAGCGATACAATAAATCAGGACTAAGGACTATGTGGCACAGTGGTAATTACCTTTGAGCCAGGAGATCTGGATTCAGCACCCGGTGATGTCATAACATCTCCGAACAGGTTGACTTAAAAATAATCCTGGGTTAGGACTGTAGGGCTCTGGTAGTGCAGTGGTTGTGTCCCTATTTCGTATTGTTATTTGTGTTCTTCCAACCAAAGTGCATCACCTCACACTTCTCTACATTGAACATCATCAGCCACATATCCAGCCACCTGAACAACTTGTTAATGTCCTTCTGGAATGAGTGCCACACTACACTTGTCGCAGTTTAGAATTACAAATGAGTCATTTTCACCCCTGCAGTTTAGCTGTTCTGTCTGCATTTTGACCAAAGCTGTAATGAAGCCAGGAACTCATTGATCCTGATGGAACCCAAATTGAGCATTGAGCAGATTATTGCTGAGAAAGTGACAACAGACTTTGACGAAGAATGCCACTCCCTATTTTGCTGACAATTGAGAGGAATCTGACGGAGCAGTTATTGGCTGTATTGAATTTATCCTGACTGTTGTGGACAGGACATTGCCGAGTGGATATTAGAATTGTGGCTGTATTGGAACAGCTTAGTTATTGCCAAAATGTTGTCACAGCCCATAGCTTATGCAGTATCCAGTGCTTTCAGCCACTTATTGATATCAAGTGGAGTGAATGAAATTGGCTGAAGGCTGGCATGTGATTCTGGGGACCTCTGGAGGAGGTGAAAATAGATCATCCACTTGGCACTTCTGGCTGAAGAATGTTACAAATGCTTCACGTTTGTTTTTTTTTTGCACAGATTTGCTGGGTTACCCCAACATTCAAGACAGGGATACTGTAGGGCTTCCTCCTCCTGTTAGTTGCTTAATTGTTCACCACCATTCATGGCTCGATGTGTCAGGTCTGCAGGGTTTAGATCTGATCTGTTGGTTGTGAGGTAGCAGTCTATCACATGTCACTTATGTATTTGACATACAAGTAGTCTTGTGTTGGAGCTTCACCAGGTTGACACCTCATTTTAAGGTGACTTGGTGCTGTTCTGGCAAGTCATTTGACATTTTTCATTGACTGAATGTTGATCCCTCAGCTTGATGATAATTGTAGAGTGAGGAATATACCTGGACAAGACGTTCAAGATTGTGGTTGAATATAATTCTACTGCTGGTAGCCCACAGCACCTTCTGGATACTTCGTTTTGACTTGCTGGATCTGATCAAAATATACCCCATTTAGCATACTGACAGTGCCACACATGATGGAAGAGTTCTTCAATTTGATGATGGGACATTGAAAATAACTACATAGACTGTGTGGAGACAAAGGTTTATGTAGGTTACACCACTGAGCGTCTCTGTTCCTGCAGTTCCTTTAACTTCATTATTTAGGACTTGTTGCCACACCTCATTCCTTCTCCCAAAATGGATCACATCATACTTCTCTACATTAAATTCTATCTGCCATGTACGTGCCCAGTTCACCAATTTATGTCGTCCAAAGTCTGTTTGTATTTAGTAAATTTGCAGTGAAAGCACCTGCCGGTTTTCAGCACATTTGTAAAGAGGGGAAATAGTTTAATTCAATGATAGAACAATCAGCCATTCCATTACATTTTTCAGGAGAGGATTCAGGTCTCTATGAGTGGACAGTTAGGTCACACTAACTATTGAAAAAAATTCTGATGATTTAAAGGGGACCTGCAGCTATTAGCAGTTTGAACTTCACAGCAGCCATTAGTACTTTGGAGCTTGCCACCCAGAAATGTGACGACAGTGTGCAAAGCCCTGTTTTAATCCCATGGGGTCCAATTTTGCACTTCTTAATATGTGGTGCATTTTAAATGCCTTTTGAAAGTGCACAAACACATCAACCACAATATCCTCACCAGCTCAATAGAACTCCATCCATCTACCTTTAATAAATTCATGCTGCCAATACTTTTCCAATGCTGTTACAATATAATAAAGTGCTGGAAAAACTCCAGGGGTTTCATAGCATCCATGGAGAGAGAAACAGTTAATGTTGTGAGTCTGATGACACTTCTTTAGAACTGAAGGGGCCTGGAAAATAGTGGCCTCTATGCTGTTGACAAAAAGGATGAGGAGCAAGTAGAACAGATGGTCAGGGTGTCGAGAGCAAAAAAAAAACAAAGGGAGTGCTGATAGTAGTAAAGGAGAGATTCAGACGGAAAATAGTCTGCTTTTCTATATCCAACACATGCAAACAAGGTGGGGCAGGCGGGGGAGTCAAAATGGACGATGGTGTTCATGTTCTGAAATTATCGAACTCAGTGTTAATTCCTGTAAAGTGCCTGAGCAGAAAATGAAGTCATATTCCTCCAGCACATGTTGGGCATCACTGCAACAGCTTAGGACGGAAATGATGGTGCGAGCAAGAAGTGGTGTTTTGAATTAACAAGTAATTGGAAGATTGGGATCCTCCTTATGGAGAGAGCAGAGATATTTTGTAAAGTGGTTACTCAGTTTGCACTTGGTCTCACACTGTGAGCAGCAAATACAGTAGAATAAATTCAAAGAAGTACAACTAATTGGTGCTTTACCTGGAAAGTCTATCTGGGGCCTTAGACAATTAGGAAGGAAGAAATAAAACATAAGTGTTACACTTTTGTGATTGCATGGCAAAGTATCATGGCGGGAGTGAGGAATTGTTAGGTGTGACAGAAGAGTCAGGATGTCCTAGAGGGAATGGTCCCTGCAGAACGCAGTCAAGGGAGGGGAAGAGAAGATGTGTTTTGTGATGGCATCCTGCTGGAGGTGGCAGAAATGCAGAGATTTGTGTTGTGTAAAGTGAGGACAAGGGGAACCCTATCATTATTCTGAGAGGTGGTGAAAGGGGAAGGGCAGAAGTGTGGGAGATGGGTTGGCCACAGCTAAGAGCCTTGTCAACAATACTGGGTGGGGGTAAAATGATGGCTCTCCCGTGGGGGTCCGGTTTGTGGATTTCAGGAATGAGGTAGAAGTGGCCGTGTAGAGTTGGAGAAGAGATCTCTAAAGGAGATGAGGTCACTGACAGACCTGGAAATAAACAGTTTGACGTTCAGTGCTCGGGCCATGGTCCAGCTGGGAGATAGGAAGAAGTGTCTAAGAGTTGGCACTCAGCCTCTGCAAGGTATAAACTCAGAGAGCATTGAAGATGGATAACATGGTCTGTGAAGCAGGGAAGAGGACTACTGTCCAAAGAAATGGCCACAGGGGCTACTGCAACAGAAGAGTTCAAGAGCTGATATCGTGCCCAAAATTTAATGAGGCTGGGATGTAAGGAGATCAAAACAATCCTTTGCTAAGCACAGATCATTCAGCACTTTTAAGAAGTTAGGATGGCAGATACTACAGAATTCCTAGCCTGCTCTTGTAGCCACAGTATTTATGTGGGCAATCCAATTCAGTTTTTAGTCAGTTGGAACACCCAAGATGTGGACAGTGGAGTATGGTAATGCCATTTAATATCAAGAGGCAATGGTTGGATTCTCCCTTGTTGAGAAACAATAACCCCTTCCACTACTTTGCTGATAATTAAGAGAATATGAATATGGTGTTAGCCAGTTTGGATTAATTCTATTTTGTGTGCACAGCACAGATCTGGGCAATTTTTGACATCAGGTAAATGCCATTGTTGTAGCTGTACTAGAACAGCTGGGCTAGGGGCACAGATGATTCTGAAGCATGAGTGTTCAGTACTACTGCTGGTATGCTGTCGGGATCCATGTTGTTTGCAGTATCCAGTGTCCTAAGGCATTTCTTGATATCATTGGAAAGAATTGGTTGAAGACTGGTAGCCGTTCTGATGCTAGGACTTTGATCTATAGCACCAGAATGTGCTGGCAGCCCAAGACTACAGGAGTCACCATAGAACGATTGGAGGCAACAACTTTAGCTGATGTTCGTTTTTATTCAGGTTATGCTGAAACTAACTTTACTCTCCTAACCACTCCTTTGACAGAGGTCAGCTGACTCAATATGGAGATTTAAGGTTGATCTTTCTGGTCTGTGTATATACATTTTTTAAAAAATTTAGTTTCAACTGAAGGCAGGGGTGGGGAGGTGCTTATCTCTAGATCCTTTAATACTTACATTCTCATCAAATTTGGAATATTTGTCTTTTTCTGATCTGAACAGTTCACTGGGAGGGATCTTCATCTTGGCCAGTTTTGCTGCCTGTAGGAAGACAGTTACTATAAATTAGTCAGATTCTGCATGCCTGTAACCCTTCCTTCATTTGTTTAATATGTTATCTTATTGCAGAAGCAATGGACATTTAATGGATTGTTCTATTGAAACAACCACATTTTTTTATGTCCTTTTGCTTTTGTACTAAGAATGAAAATGGTGGTTTAAACCAAGGAACCATATAAAGAGATGGCTGCTGTTTTAAAAATCATGTTTAATGAAGCATTACAAGTTGTATAAAATGTTGCTTTCCCCAGAAACGCCAGAACAAAAGCAAACCAAGTCGATGGGTTCCAAACTAAAAGAAAACTGTTCAACAACATTTTGATGCTGGTCAGGAGCCAGTCTGTGGCTTGTTTGAACTCAGTGCAGCTGAAAACCTCCTGGACTGTACAGAAAACACCCAAAAATCTGTGTCTCGTGCTCTTGTGTGGAGGTACCAAAAATCTCCACTAACAGCTGGCTTTCTTCCAATTGCTTCTCTTTGCAAATCCCCAATTAGAGGAGGAATAAAACACCTTTAAAGACAGTGAAAGGCTGAACTCTCAACCAGTAAATGAGAGAGAGAATCAGTATGCAAACAGTACTTCCTAACTGCCATTGGTTAAAGTCAACTTGGTCATAATAAAGTCTATGTGAAGAACAGAAACCTGGTGAGTGTTTTCTTTTAACTGGAGATTATCAGAACTGAGGAAGGGTCACTGGAACTGAAACATTAACTCTGATTTCTCTTCATAAATGCTGCCAGACCTGCTGGGCTTTTCCAGCAATTGCTAATTTTGTTGCTAACCTCTGAACCCATCGAGAAATCCTCTTGTGCGTCTCCCAGGTATTTCTGGATCTTCTGACTTAATGGGCAGTGTTGTGGCAGAAAGAGGCACACAAATAAAAGAACATACAAGTTTAAAAGCTAGATGAGGGCCTGTTTAATTTCATCTCCCTAGAAAGAGTCTACAGCCTTATCAATTACATTCTCCAACTACTACCTAAATGTTTACTGTACAACCTTATCTGGAAGGACATTTACATTTTGCTTTATGTTGAGATGACCCTCCTGGCGCAAGACTTAAATATGTCTTAATTTAAATCTCTTTTTCATATTCTAATGTGATTGTAGAGATAAATTATTTTGATATGTTCGCTGATACCAACAATCTGATGAGGATTGTTGATTGCATATACTCACCTCTGATTATTTCTAATTGCAATATTAAACGGATACAAATTAAATTCAAAAATTGAAAAAAATTCTGTTTTGTTTAACACTATTTTTCCTACCCAATACACTCTACCATTTTGTTTTTCATTAATAGGTATTGTTAGGTATTTGCCACTCTTTGTTTAAATATATTTTATAAGATATCCCTGCTAGTGTGCATGGTCTGGAGTGTTGGCAAGTGAAGCCAGATTGTTTTAACTCATTGAATTTTTTTCATTTTTAACAATTTCAGAATACAAGTTGATACTGCAATGGATTGCATATGGGAGCAAAATCAAATGTAATTTTTTGGATGAGGCTGTGTCAGAGGACAGAGATTAATTAGAATGTAAGAGTGTGCAGATGTAATTCAGCCCGGCTTCTAACGTCTATATAATAAGTTTTCCAATTAATCAAAATTATGACTCAGGATAGTGAAGTAGAATTGGCTGGAGTATTAAAGTTTTTCTGTGATAAAAGCTGAGGAATTTGGAAGACGTGAAACAATTATTGGGAGGATGCAGCATATTACAACACGATAACTTACACCAGGAAGTTTCCATTATAAACAGACAAAGGAATTTATAATGGAAATGTTAATATTTAAATGGGTCAAAAACAAGCTCACAAGTGAGGTGTTGTAGGCAGGAAATATATGCAAACAAGATTTAAATATATGGCAGGAGATATAACTCTAATCAAAACAAGAGGAACGGGGAAGACAAAACACATATAAAAGACATCATGGTGCTGCCTTTCAAAGTCACCAGTTTTGCATCACCTGCATGTTATAAAGCTAGACTGGCATCTTAAGTGAACATAGCAGTCAAAGCCTTCAGAGAGTAGTTATTACCCATAAATTGCTTCTTTCTCACCAACACTTTTTTTAATCTTGCATCAATTCCCTGCATTTCTGGGCCCAACTTCTGATGCTGGAGGGCTGAGAATGCACAGCACACCTTAAATCCAGCTGAATTCTTGTAATGTAAGACAGTCAAGGGAAGCAAAGCAACACATGGTTCTCTTTAACAACATTAATTGCCTTGCTCCTTATTCTGGTACTGTTTATAAACATATTGAACAACTTCGGCACATGTAAACAGCTTTTCAGTGTTTTGGAATGAGTGAAAGTCATTTAAGTGTGTAAAGGGTGGGAGGTGGTGCTGGAGCTGAGGTAGGTAGTATGGCAAGTTGGATGGGTGGATTTGATGACAGGGTCGCAACAGGGTAGATAACATGGAGTAGCTGGATGGGTTGAGGGTGATGCAGATTGGGTCAGGTAGGGCTTATTAAGGGATCAGGTGGCTGTCGGGTTTGGAGCAAGGGGATCCTGGAAGCAGTGTTAGCGGTCCATGGGAATTGTCAGTATAAGCAATTGAAGGGTGAATTTTGTAGTTAGTCAGGAGTTAGAGCTGGTTTTAAATTTCTCAAATGTTTCCTGACTAACTGTGAGTCAGAATCTTCTGAACTGTCCAACTCTCAGAATTAGGGACTTTTTGGAGATGTCCAAATGCTGGGTATTTGCCCCAGGGATGTTTCAACTTTGTGGGCAACTGCTGGGTTGTCATTATGTTGGGCCATCCAAAGGGATCCTGGTATGCATCTTTCAGTGGGTGTCCAGGCTCTAAGTATGCAGAGAGCAGATGCTCTGGGTCATTTTTTGTTTCAACTCCATACTATCAACAAGAATAGTTTGACAAGAAAAGGGAAGAGGAAACTTACTAGCAATCTTGTCAATTAGCCTGCATGTTTATATTATTCTGTAAAATATCAAAGACAGTAAGTTATACAAGGCAAGGACTTAACTTATTCAAGGAAGAGGTCATCTATGATCAAGAATTGCTAAATACCAGATTAGTATTTTTCTCTGAATCTGTATCTTTCTGAAAAGGCTGATCTTTACGCAAAAATAATTACCGCAAGCTTTAGTGGGAGGGGAGGGAAAGAGGTCAGAGGCCACTGTAAATGCTATCACAATGGTAAAGGTGCTATCAAACTTAAGGAGTTTCAGTTGCATACTTTGGTATTGTAGGTTAAGGACAAGTACAAATCCCATCCTTCTTAAATCCGGATGGCACCCAACAACCATTGTTCACTCATTTTTCCTTAGGAAGGATTATTGAATTGAGAAGAGTGGTCTTTCTGGCTGATTTTCCCTGCTTTAACTTGGAAGCATTAATTGTATTGTTTTAACTGCCATCCCAGTTGAGATCAGCTAATTCAGTGCAAACTTGAATCAAATCTACTACATTTATGATCAGCAGGTCCCTGGGATTCTCCTGCTGTTTTTAATGTAAATGTCTCAGTGATGACTCTTCAATGTAAGGCTAAAGTTTAAACTAATATAGAAGGTAAAATTAATTTATCTGCATTCAGCTATGCAAGTGGTCAACTAGATTTTTGCTCTCTTTCTTTTAAGTTAGATGATGCCCATCAGAACAAATGCAACAGACAATTGTAAGACCAATTGAACAAGCTTGTACAGCAGCTATGACATAATGTATCAAGTCCCCACCTCCTGTTCTCGTTTTTTCTGGGCTGCTTCTTCCTTCTTCCTCTTTTTCTCTTCTTCAATCTGTTGCAAAAAAAAAAGGCAGAGCAAAAAAAGTTTTAATCATAATAAATACAATATTACTTGTTTGTTAAACAGAAAACAAGACCAATTTTTCTCAGATTGCAAACTATCTCAATGTTGTCAGTCCTTTGCAACATATGTTCCACCTAATTTTCTCAAGACATGGATCTCACGTTGTGTGGTCCAACAAATATCAACATTTCCTGGTACCATGTCCAAATGGTCATTCTCTGTGTGTAACTTTGTGTAATGTGTTACGTCATGCAGAACATTACTGTAACCCTGATCCCCACAGATACAAATCTTACACCGGGTAGGGGTGGGTGTGAGGGGATTGATTAAAAATGGAGCAAGAATCCAGACTGTATTCATGTTGTTTTCATTTAAGAGTAAACTGCATCACCTTAGCTGTAGTTAGCAACTCTGATGGTGTTGTATAGCACTGGAATATTTCCATTTATTTAATTTATTCATTAATTATTTCCATTTAATCAGCAAGACAACAACAAAATATGTAGACTTTTACAGGCGCTGTAAATACAAGGCTCTCACTATGGCCAGTGAATCTACCAACATGGAAAGTTTTGCTCACCAGATTTATTAGGTGAGGAAAATACCGAGTTTTCATGTATCTTAAAAATGAAACCGCCAGGTTGTGAAAATAAATATTTGCCACTATCTGTTCCTATATTTATTACCCACTAAAGCTTCCAATAGTGTGTTGACCCTATTCAGCTCTTTACAAATTTTATAAGTTTGAATTAGATCATCTCTCATTATTCTAAACTCTAATGAGTACAGACACAGTCTCCTCAATCTCTCTTCACCGCACAGCTTTATGTTCCATTGTATACCTTTACTTTTCCAACATGATAGAGATCAACTTACCCTTTTCTTCTCTTCTCTCTCCCTCAGCAATGTCTCTCGGTCCACAAATTTCACCACAGTAGGTAATCCTGCAAAACGATAGGAAACCATTAGAAATGTCAGCCTAACCCTTTAAGCTCTTCGGTTCAATATTCCTTAATCTAACTGTTTAAAACCTTCAGAAAAAAGAAAACACAATGGGATGGGCAGGGTTTCTATCACATAAGTGGCTATTCTCTGTGACACAGCACTAGGGGATTAAGATTTTATACAGAAAAGTCTGATCCTGCTCTTAATAAACACCAATAATACTTTGTAGCAGAAAGAATTGGAAGCACAGAGCAATTCTAATACAAGTGAGGAATTTTATTGTTTGGAGGATAGAACTCTGGTAAGGATATAACATATGGAGAATGGAGAGGATCTTTTTGATATGTATGGTAGTGTGGCCAATAAACAAAAATAGGTTTTTGTACAGTTCACAAGACACTGCATAGAGAACAGAATTTCTCTATAGTTAATTGAAACTGCACAAAGATTAAGCGCAATCAGTTGGCCAGGTGGATATGAAGAAATTGTACCTTTTTGACGTTTGCCCTACTCCCTAATGGCCAATACATGTCTCAGAAAGGCTGTTCAAACTAATGATCCTCCTATTTACAATACAGACATCTAGAACGGTGCACTTGAAGAGTTTAAATGATGCGATTTTCATCACCTTGGACCTCTACTAAAACCTTTAAACCAGCTCGAGTTGGATATTATATCTTTCACTATGTTCATAACTATTTAACTTACTCTAAAGCCAGTCATCTGTGCTAAAGTTGATTGCCTTTTTTAAAATTCTTCCATGTGCCTTTTCCATTCTAATAATTTCATAATCATAGAATCCCTACGGTGTGGAAACAGGCCCTTTGGCCCAACAAGTCCACACTGACCCTCACAGCGTCCCACCCAGCCCATCCCCTATAACCCACCTAATCTACACATCTCTGAACACTATCAGCAATTTAGCACGGCCAATCCATCTAGCCTGTACATCTTCGGACTGTGGGAGGAAACCGGAGCACCTGGTGGAAACCCACGCAGACTTGGGGAGAACGTGCAAATTCCACACAGACAGGTCACACGAGGGTGAAATCGAACTTGGGTCCCTGGCGCTGTGAGGCAGCAGTGCTAACCACTGAGCCACCGTGCTGCCCCTTGTACTCATCCAGGCAAGTGATTCATCTATCTGCAATCCTATAACCCTGGCCACTAAATTTTTAATTGATTCCATTCCATAATCAATTGCCCTCAGTGTGCACAACTTTTGTTTTTCTCAGAAGGCAGTCATTTGGGTATTTGAAGACAAAGCTTATTCAGGTTTTTGACATAACTATTTACCAGCTCCGTTGCTTTACTCTTGATAGTTCTAGCCTTAGATAGGACATTTACCCTAGCTGGTTATTCTAGAACCAGGGTATAAGGGTCTCAGGATAAGGGCTGGCCATTTGAGACTGAAGTAAGGAGGAGGCTGAAGCGAGGAGGAATTTGTTCATTCAGAGTCTAGTAAATCTTTGGAATTCTCTACTCTAGAGTGCTGTGGAAGCTCAGTCATTGTCCATGTTCAATACAAAAATCAACAGATTTCTGGAGACTAAAGACCATCAAGTGATATGTAAATAATGCTGGAAACATGCACTGAGATATATGATCAGCCATGATCTCAGCGAATAGCAGAACAGGTCCATAGGCTGAATCACTTGTTCCTATAATCTTCTGGGTGTTGTGGGTTCCAAAGTCACTCCAGAAACTTCAGCACAAAAATCTAGGCTGACATTTTAGAGTGGTTGTAGTAAGGGAGTGTTGTGCTGTTGGGACTTTTGTTTTTCAGATGATAATTAAACCAAGACCTGTTTGCTATCTCAAGTGGATGTTTAAAAAAAAAAGCCCTGGCACCATTTTTAAGAGGAGCTAGGGAGCTATCCACTGTGTCCAGGTCAACAATTATCCTTCAATCGTCACTAAAAACAGATTCTTTAGCCATTACTGCATTGTTGCTTCTGGGAGCTTGCTGTGCAGTAATTCACAGAATTGCTACAGCACAGAGGGGATGCTTTTTGGCCCGTTTGGGTGATCCTTGGTGTGGAAGAACTGTTTTATGAACAAAGTTGTTCTTAACAGTTTGGGACTTTATTCATTGGAATTTAGAAGAATAACAAATGATCTCATTAACACAGGGGATTCTTAAGTGGCTTGACAGGGTAAATGCTGAGAGAGTGTTTCCCCTCATGGATGGTCAAGGACAAGAAAGCATAGCCTCAAATAAAAGGGGCACCAATTTAAGACTGACATGAGGAATTTCTTCTTTAAGAGGGTTGGATATCTTTGGAAATCCTGCCACAGAGAACTGTGGGGGCAGAGTCCTTGCATATATCATAGATAGATTATTGATTAGAAAGGGAATCAAGGATTATGGGGAAAAAGGGAGGAAAATGGATGTGAGGAATGTCAGATCAGCCATGATCCTATTGAATGGTGGAGGAGGCTCGAGGGGCCAAACAGCCTACTCCCGTTCCTATTTCTTAAGGTCTTATCCCTGCTTTGTTTCTTATACTACATTAATGGCTACAGTTCAAAATTACAGAGGACCCAAGGTCGTGAAAAATATTGTAAGAGTGTTGCTGCGTGATTCAGTGATGTGACAGCTGGTCAAATATTAGACACAACTTTGCTACATACAACAGGAATAAATTTGTCAAAAAAGTGTTCAAACATTAACTAAAACATTGCTTTTCAACTGTCTTTACCATGACTTTACTTTTCAACTTTATACCTATCAAGTCAGCATTCAATAATCTGGATAAAGCTTTCAATCAGTTTTTTTTTCCTCTTGCTCATCAAAAACTCTGCAGTCAAGTGTAGAGTTCCATTGTAGCAGGCTGAGATTAAACCTTGCACTCTGTTGTCTATGTCAACCAACTATCCATTGGGTAAGCATTAAAAACAATTCTTTACAAAACACTATAAAAGTTACTCATTAACAACTCAGTGGCTAATGACATAGTAACAAAAGTAGACTGAAGGGTCCAGGTTAATTCTCTATTGATGCTGAATTTGCTGATTTCAGCTTGAATACTGGTTATGACCATTAAATTAACTCTCAGTGCCCTGGGCTAGGAAGGCAGAAGAAACATTTTGTAGCAAAAATTCTCAGGAATCTGAGATAACAAGGTGTAGAGCTGGATGAACACAGCAGGCCAAGCAGCATTAGAGGAGCAGGAAAGCTGATGTTTCGGGTCTGGACCCTTCTTATTGCCCATTTTAGTGCAGTAAGAAGCATTGTTCTGAAGACTGGAACCAAGGCACCAAGTTTCCCCACAGTTAATATAACACAAAAAAAAGGAGCACGAGTATGTTATTTGGCCCATTGAGTCTGCACTGCCACTCAAAAATGGATTTAATTCCACTTTCCTGCTTGTTCCTATAACCCTTAAATCCCTCACAAATCAACATTCTGTCTAACTCAGTCTCAAATTTATTCAACGACCCGATCTCCATTGTCCTTTAGGGTTGAAATTCCTTCTTCATGTCGGTCTTATTTGGTAGAACCCTTATTTTAAAACTGGGCCCCCTAGTAATGGATTCCCTGTAGGGAAAACATTTTCTCAGTATCTACCCTGATGTCAAGCCCCCTCAGTATTTCAAAAGATAGATGTAATATTGATGACAGGGGGGTCTCAGCCACCAACTGGAGAACTGGTATGACATTAGGGCAAATTTTCCCCTGTCCTGATAATCATTTTGCAAGCACAGGTAGGAGTTGTGCATGGAGGCCCTGCAGAATCATAGCACACTCCAAAGGGATTGCCTGGCATATTGAACTTCTGCTGGGTAATTCCACAATATTTGGTACCCTCCAAAAGTCTCTATAGATATCGAAGATTTGGATGGTTCTGAAAAAATTAGTTAGTTAGGAAAAGTTAGACTACATAAGTTAACTCCTGAATAACTAATGAACAGAGCCAATACTTATCTGACACACCCAAAAACCCTCCTACGAGCTAAATATCAACTCCCCACTGTGCACATCTCTCCCTCCATGAGTTATTACACTGCCTCAAATCCTGCTTCCAGAGGCCACTTTCAATTCCATCCAATGCTTCAGCAATCTGGCTGGAAGTTGAGGCTATGATGATAGAAGACAGCACCTCATGATCAGGTAGCACCAAACTTATATCCCAAACTTAGAGGACATAAAAAAATGAGTCTCTTACTGTCACAGCATTGTGAAAGAATACTGGGAAAAATGGTATGATTATCAAGTTCAATACTGAAAGACACAATTTGTTAGTGTATGAAAATATCGTAGCCCACTCAATGAAGTCAAAGCTAGCAAAATCTACAGATGATAACCTGCAGCTGACCCAATTCAGTACCTTCATGGTCTTCAAAACGAACTCCAAGCTCTGGAAGGATGTCATCTCGAAGGTCATCACACAGCTGGAGAACCTCACTCGCTGTAACACAGATGGAGGTTATTCAATGGACACCCATTTTAGGCCACATCAGGATCACTGAGTTTTGTGCCCAAGTCAACAAAGGTGAACAGAATACACTCCAAACTTCTTCCTTCCTCTTCCTGAACATTTATCAAGCCGAGAGATTATACTGGGAATTCGTTTTTCCTTCTATTGGTATAAAATCAAAGTAAAATTCCCTCGATGCTATCGCATGAAGCATTTTCAGATGAGTAAAGAATAAGTTGGAGGAAGAGTAAAGCTTTTGTGCCAGTTTTTTAAAGTTACATCACCTCAACGATGCCATAAGAGATAGTAAGAACCGCAGATGCCGGAGTCAGAGATAACACAGTGTGGAGCTGGAGGAACACAGCAGGCCAGGCAGCATCAGAGGAACGGGAAAGTTGACATTTCGGGTCAGGACCCTTTTTCAGATTTTCTTCAGATAATCTGATGAAGGGTCCTGACCTGAAACGTCAACTTTCCTGCTTCTCTGATGCTGCCTGGCCTGTTGTGTTCCTCCAGCTCTACACTGTGTTATCTCAACAATACCATAAACCTTGTTTGGATGTGAATTGATAACTCATAATGCAATCAAGACTGTTATTCAACCTCTGATTCACTCAGAGCATTGCTCTGCAAGTCATGAGACTTTTAGCATGATAATACATTGCTTTGTAAATACTTTTCTCAATTACATTTCCCACACCTTGGTCAGTCAGCATCTTTGAAGCTGACAAAATGGGACATTGTTACATTTTGTGAAGAAGTTGCTTAAGGAGGGTTATAAGGGAGTGGTCATACCTTTCTTTTGTTACTTCTACTGAACCTTTTTACATTTCCTCCAAAATGGGGTACATGCCACATCAGTAGGAGAAGCTGATACCCAAATTACACGAGATGTTTTTGTGGAGTCTGCAGCTTTCCTCTCTACAGGATTATTATTGCAAGGACTCCTACCAAATAGTCTAGGGGAGATCAGCCCTGATATGTTTAGCACCACAGGCAGCATCTATATCACTGGTCATATATTGCATTTGATAGCAGCTCCAATTATACTGTGTATCTTGGGTAACTTGGAACTTATTTTTGATAACAGGGTATCTGATGACTGGGATGGACGCCAACTTCATGAATATCTACCTCAATTTCCTTAGAGTATTTGACAAATTATGTGCAAAAGGCATTTGAAGCTTAAAATGATGGAGATTCTGGTTAAACTTGGAAAAGAAATTGGATGAAGGGTGCAACGAAGGTTAGAGGAGTCAAGCATAAATGCACAAAAGTCAAGCACAAAAACAAAAATGCTGCAGAAACTCGCCTGGTCTGGCAGCATCTGTGGTGAGAAAAACAATGTAATGTTTCAAGTCCAATATGATGCTACTTAAAAGAGAGAGTTAAATCTGCTTCTCTCTCCACAGATGCTACCAGACCTGTGGAGTTTCTCCAGCATTCTTTGTTGTAAATCCAGCATCCACAATATTTTGCTTTTATTTACAGGAACCAGGCATGTTGAGTAGAAGAAACAGTTAACTGCAATGGCTCAGGGATCAGTATGTTAGTAGACTTGTTATTTAACTCAGCAGTGCACCAGATCAAGGTGCAAACAAATTGTGGATCCACATGACCAAAACAAGTAAAAGCACAAGTTAGTTATGCTAAGACTGTGGTATTCTGGTCATGTTGCACCTTATTAAGGCACTACAATAACCACTTCACCATTGCATCTTGGAACTGTGATTCAACTACATTAGGCACTGGGACGCCACCCATAAGCTAAGTAGATTTATTAGGAAAACATACTAATTCATCGTTCTGTACCTTTCTTCTCACGGGCAATTTGTCGCACATTCTCACGAAAATCTGATAGTACCTTCAGGTAGGGCATGATGGTGGCTTCCAACTGGATGCAGAAGACAAGAATTAAAAGGAAGTAGAATCTGACCACTGAATTTGTTACAGTGAAAGGTCCCTCATCACACCTTAGCAATCTACACCTATCGTTGCACAGTTTAAATGCTTTTTGGAACTATTTGTAACAGGGCTGCATGACTTGATCAAGCAGACGTCAACTTTAGGGTTTCCTACACAGTGATCAGCTCTTCCCAAGACCACTGCACAATGATTAACACCTTCACTTTCGACTGGTTGTAGAATAACATTTCAGACCTAGCTGAGCGGCAGCTCCTGAGTTAAAAGCTTATGGGTTCAAGCTCCTCCAGGATTTAAGCACATAATTCAAGGCTGACAGTGCTTCATTGTTTATAGATACTGCTTTTTCGATGATGCGTTAAAACAGACACACCATCCTTTTAGGGTAGATGTAAAATAATACGTCATTCTTCAAAGAAGAATAGGGGAATTCCTCTGGAAAGCAGTCATACTTCAATGGGTACCACCCAAAATAGAAGAGCTTGACATTTACCTTTTTCATATTTTAGGATTTTATAATTTAAAATTACAGAATTTTACAGTGCAAAAGGAGGCCATTCCATCAATCGTGTCTGTACTGGGTCCCAAGAGCTATCCAGCTAGTGCCATTCCAAGCCCTCTCTCCATAGCTCTCTAAATTTATCACTTTCAAATATGCATTTGAAACCCCCTATGGAATCTGCCTCCACCACTCACCCAGGGAGTGCATTCCAAATCCTAACAGCTAGGGTAGCACTGCTGCTTCATAGAATCAGGAACTCAAGTTCGATTCCAGGCTTGGGTGACTGTGTGGAGTTTGCACATTCTACCCATGCCTGTTGTGTGTTTCCTCCAGGTGTTTGGGTTTCCTCCTACGGTCCAGAGTTGTGCAGGTTAGGTGGGTTGGTCATGCTAAATTGTCCCGTAGTGTGTGGTGGATTATAAGGATTGTATTTGAGTAGGATACTCTTCGGAGGGTCGGTGCAAACCCAAAGGGCCAAATGGCCTCTTTCAGCACTGTAGGGATTTGATGATTCCCTGATTAAAGAAGTTTTGCCTCATCTCACTCCTAGCTTTCTTGCTGACAATCATGAAATTATGACTCCCTAGTACGGACATACCAACCAGTGGTATCAGAATGTCCTCCTTTACCCTGTCAAAATTGTTCATAATTTTGAACACCTCAAACAAGGTCACCTCTTAATCTTCTATGCTACAAGGTAAATGAGCCCAATTTCTCTAACCTTCCCCCGTATCTAAAATCCTTCATTGCTGGTATCATTCTAATAAATCTCCTTTGAACTCTCTCCAGGGCTTTAACTTCCTTCCTTAATAAAGGCGCCCAGAACTGAACACAATATCCCAAATGTGGCCTGACCAACAATTTGTTGAGGTGTAGCATTTATGCACAAATTTCTTGCTATTTTCCCCCAGTGACTGCACTTTGAAAGAAGTAAACAGCTGCAAAGTGCTTAAATAATTGCAACAAATTGGAAGTTTCTATGTTTAAATGCCAAATGTTAATTTTTTCTTGTTATATGCAATTAAAATACAGCACTAGCAACCTCCAACTGTATCACTGCTTGAATTATCATATTCTTCAATGTAGAAGCAAGATAGTAAACGAGACTTTGTGGATTCCTTTATGTGTGTGTGAGAGAGAGAGAGAGAGAGAGAGAGACTGCAAATACTTACATTTAAATTCTCGCTGCCTCCTCCAACAGGGAATCCAATTGGTTCTTCACCCTCTATTGCTCCAAAAATCTGATTCACAGACAGAAGGAAACAATTATAGTTTTCTTTCCCACTGTCAGGCCTATCGACAAAGCCTGATAATTAATAGTTTTTACCACTCACACCTTACAAGCATAATTCTTCAATTGCATCTGCAGCAACTATGCACTTCACTGAAAGGGAGAACTGTAGTTGGATCATCTAGTATTTAGAATGCCTCATATCACACTGGCCCACAGCAAACAAATCAAATACTCTGAATTAGTTGATACTTAGCAGGGCCCATAATAGGACTGGGAGAATTTGCAACAGTGCCCTTTGGCTAGAACATGGAAAATTCCACTCCTGATCATTCCCCACAGGTCACTCTGTGTGGTGGTCACTCTGAATGATATTGTCATGGGCAGGTGCACCAGCAACAAGCAGATTGGTGAAGATGAGTCTCAGTATGTTTTTCCCTTTTGCTGGTTACTTCATCACCTGGTGCAGATCCACTTGACATATAAATGTTCCGATTGTAACTGACTGTGATATCACTCATAAATCAGTATCCTTTGAGAAAGAATTATAGCCATGTTCACTCTTGTTGAGGGACACATGTGCAAAATGGTCAATTAGGCCAGATTTTAGTGGGTAACCAGGCCTCTGTGTTTGGATAATCTAGGAACAGTCGAGTGTCTTTGGCAGAAGCAGGGGATAATTGGGAAAAGCAGCAGGGGATAGCTGGAAAGAAAAACAGGCATGCAGAACAGGCAGAAACAAACGTTACATGTCAGTTATGATGAAACTATTTTGGGTGGCAGCTCTGAAGAAATCTATTGGTGCAGGCAGCTTATGTCCAGGTGACAGTAAATTTAAAAAAAAACAAACATTTGATCATTTATTGATGAAAGTCAAACATGAATTGAAAACAAAAAACTTGATCATGGCTATCAGAGTAATAGATTGGAAGAATCAGGTCGTGAAGAATCACATGATAAAGAATAGAAACTACTCAGTAAATCTAGGAGTATCTGTGGAGACAGAAAAAGCACTGATGTTTCAAGGTTGACAAACCTTTGTCAGACCTTAAACATTTTCAATTTCTCTCTCCCCGGATGTGGTCATCAGGCTTGCTGAATATTTCCAGCATATTCTGTTTTTAGTTAAGATTTACAAATTTGCAGTACTTTATTCAAGGAACAGACATTTGCGGGAGTGACCAGTGTTACGTATTGTGCTTTGCCATCTCACCTTCAGCATCTCGGTAAGATACAATGCGACGTTCCTCAACAGCATCCGATTCGGTAACTGTTTGTTGCTTTTCTTTGCTGCAATGTATGTGTTACATTGACTCACAAGGGAACGCAGCTCTTCCATAACAGCACGGGTGTCAATGTTATCACACAGTGCCCTGTGCACAGCTGCTTTCTTCTCATAAAAGCTATAATTAAAAATGAAGTCTTTGTAAAACTACAGTAACCTGGTTTACCTGTACCTTTCCTTTTGAAATGATTGTGAAAAATACATTTTTCAATTCTTGAGATGTGACTGAAGAATTCAGATCATGAGAAAAAGGCTGAGGAAAAAGTGATTCTGTTGGAGAGAGGCATAATTCAAGCGTCTACAAATACCACATTGTGGAAATTCCATTCAGAAGTGTGCTGGTGGCCAAAACAATGAGACAATTAGTTAACCTAAATAAAGGGAAGATAGCCTTGTTTGATTTAAATAGTATGTTCAAAAATGCTACATTCTAGGGTCACTATTCATTTATAAGCTAACATACTGATTACAGAGGCAAGAATCCACATTGATGCACAAAATTTCCACAATATGCTTACATTTTAATTACACAGCTCTTGTAGTTTTAGAAGACCTGATTATTATGCAAATGATTTCCATCATCAAATTGATTTTGTCTACTTTGCTTTGAAATCTGATCAGAACAGATTGCAGTTCATAAAAAGGGATATTGTGGCCATTATACCATTTCTCTCACCAACTCCGGGGTTGGGGGGAAGAAGAGCTGTCGAGCAGTACTAATAGGAGATTCTTTAGTCAGTCAGGGGAATGGACAGACATTTCTGCAGCCGCAAACATGATGCGTTGCTTTCATGATGCCCCGGCCAAGGATATAATGGAACAGTTGTAGGGCGTTTTTATGTGGAGGGTGAATAGCCAGAGGTTACAGTCCATTTTGATAAAAATGACTTATGTAGAAAAAGGGAAGAGATCCCAAAAGTGGATTTCAAGGAGCTATTAAGGAGATTAAAAGCAGAATCTCCAAAGGTCAGGATTACACACAGTCTGACATGGTGAGCATAGACACAGCAGAATTGAGGAATTGAACACAAGGCTGAAAAATTGGCGTAGAAAGGAGGGAATCACATAACTGAAGCATTGGGACCAGGTGCATGTACAAAATGGTCATGCTGCATCTTGGCAGGACTAACATCCTCACAAAGAGATTTGCTATTGCTGTTGTGGGGGGTTTAAACTAGATTGGTAGGGGAATGGAAACCTATGAGGGGACTCAGGTTCATGGGAAGCAAAATAAAGTAGTCAGCAAATATGGAAAGATGACAGATGAGCAATGGCAAGTGTCATATAGGATTCAAATGGGGAACAATGTTAAAAAGGCTGAATTAAAAGCACTCCACCTAAATAAACATAGAATTCACAAGGATGCACAAAAGGAAATGGAAATGATTTAATTGCCATTACAGAGACTTTGCTACAGGCTAACCAAGATTGGAAATTGAATATTCAACTCCCACTTCAGGAGGATAAAGCAAAAAGGAAAAAGGACTTTGGGGCAGCATTCCTAATTATGGATGACACTGGTACATTAATATGAAAGCGCCTTTGATCGGAGGATATAAAATGTTGGTTCAGTTTGGGTGAAGCTAAGAAACATAGGGAAAGCAATCATTGGTGGGAGTTGTTTATAGAACACAAACTGCAGCACTAATTTTGGGCATGCTAATAATCAGGACATTAATGACATATGTAATGTGGGTAATACAGTAATCATGGCAACTTGACTTTGCATACAGACTAGGTTAATCAAGTCGGCACTAATGTTGCTAAGGATTACATTGTGGAATGTACACGAGAAAGATTTCTAGAACAGCATGTTGAGAAATGGGGCTATTTTAGATTAGTTATTGTGTAATAAGGTACAACTTATTAATGACCTTGCTTTAAAGGAGCCTTTGGAAAACAGTGACCAAAAACATGATAGAACCTTTTTAAAAATCAAGCTTGAATATAATATTCTGTTCATTCTGAAACTAGAGTCTTAAATCTGAGCAAAGGAAACTCTGATGGCATCAGGGACAGGTTGACTAACTCGGCTTGAGAAAATACATTGAAAGATTTGACAGTAGATAGGCAATGGCTAGTATTTAAAAGAAATAATACAAGGTCTACAACAGATAAACAATCCTTTAGAAAGCAGAAACACCAAAAGGGAATGGTGAATCTTGAATGGATTAAAAGAATACCAGAAATAGTATTAAGCATGATGATTGAAAGAGATTTAAAACCCACAAAAGGACAGCCAACAAATCGATGAGGACAAAGAAAAAGAGAACACAAGTGCAAGCTAGTGCGCTACATAAAAGGTGGACTGCAAAAACTTCTACTGATATGTCAAAGAGGGGGGGAAAAAAAAGCAAGGATAAATTACAAGTGAGCACAGGAAAATATGTAGTGCAGAATTGTGAAATTGTAAAAAAAAATTAAACAGCCACTTTGCTTCTGCCTTTATTGCAGAAAATCTTCTGGAAATACTAGGCAATCACGGAACTTATAAAGCTGAAGAGTTAAAATAAATTAGTGCTAGCAAAGAAGCTGTACTTGAAAAATGAACTGGATTGAGAGCTAATCAATCTCTTGGACTAGGCGAGATTCATAGGTGTTGAAGGAGCAATAGAGATAGTGGATACATTGGCGGATATCTATCATAATTCTATAGATTATGGAAAGGTTCCTGCTGACTGGAAGGTAGCGACTATAATCCCACCATTCACAAAGGAAGAAGAATGGAGAAATTGTGGGGGAACATACTAGAATGGATTGAGAATTAGTCAATAAATAGAAAGCAGAAAGTAGAAATTATGGATCATTCTCAGGAATAACAGGTTGTCATCCACTGGTGCACTGTATGGGTCAGTGCCACATTGACCACAGAAAATCTGCATAAATGATTTAGATGTGGGGATCAATTATAATAATGGTAAATTTGCTGATGACACCAAACTGGGGGAGGAAGTAAATTGTGAGAATGGTGCAAGGAGGCTTCAAGAAGACTTGGACAGTCTAGGTGAATGGGCTAAATCAGACAGATGGAATATTACATAAACAAGTGTGAAGTTATTCACATTGGTTAAAAAATTCCTGAAGTGTGAGTGTCCAAGTGGATCTGGGTATCATCGTTTAGTAGAAGGTGCAGATGCAAAAAGCAATTTGAAAGGAAATGGTAGGTCGGCATTCATTTCAAGGGGATTTCATTGCAAAGGTAAAGATGCCTTATCACATTTGCAATTGTATGGAGCAGTGGTGAGACTTCACCTGCAATATTGTGTACATTTTCAGTCTCCTTGTACAAAGGATACATTTACCATAGAGCGAGTACAACAGACGGTCACCAGATTCATCCTTAGGATTGTTTTACAAGGAGAGATCAAGAAACTGGGTCTACATGCTCTGTTTCAAAGAGTGAGAGCTGATCTCATGGTGACTTACAACATTCTTACATGGCATGATAGGGTACATATAGATCTATTCCTGTTCATCGTTGTCTTAGCCCAGCTGTTGCTGAAACCCTTCTCCATTTCTATATCTCTAGACTGGACTATTTCATTGCTGTCTGAGAAAAAGTTCCATTCTCCACTCTGCAGGAACTTCAGCTCCTCTCAAACTCCGCTGTTCATAACTTACTATAAACTAAGTCTGGCTGACCGATCACCCAGTCTTCCCGATTTAAATTGGTTCCTGGATTAATGGTAGTTGCATGTTTATATTGGAGTTTCCTGCTGAATTCCCTCTGTAAATCTCCCTCTCCTATCAAACTAAACCATTTGCCCAAGATTTAGGCTTCTCCCAATATCACTGGCTTTGCACCTGTCTATTTCTATATATGTTTATTAAGTATCTGAGATGTTTTCAGAGTTAGAAGTTTTATATAAATATGTCAATGCTGTGACAAATACCAGAGACTTGCCAAATATTACTTGGGTCACTTTTGTTTGAGTAAAAGATGTAGAAACAGAAAGTAATTCCACAGGCACAGGCCTACACAAATGCAGAGAAGACTATACTCTCAGTTTGCTGTGGGACTGACCATTTTTGTCAGGGCTTTGTTGGATTTCAGGTTCAAGAAGGAAAATTCCAAGGACCACATGATCTTCCCACCCCCAATGAACTAACAACTGACAAGATTAATATGCACGCCATCACATAATAGGTTCAGACATTTCCACACGAATTATTTACCACACGAATACACCTAAAACTGTATCTCACCTCTGCAGAGGTATCAGTTATGCTCTATATCAAATTGGAGGGCAACATTGGAGATGGTGGATGTGGGGCAGGGTCAGACAATCTAAGGCTCTTCAACTCCTGCATACCAACATACCAAAACTGTGGCACACAGTTTGAACGGGGGCAGCAAGGGAACTCAAGAGTCAGATTTGAGGATAGTATTGGATGTCCTGAAGCCTGTAGTGATCACTGACCGTACTGGCCATTCATAAAGATAAGTTCTTACAGTTTACTGCAATCTACCAAAAACAAAGTTAACTTAACAAACAAATGTGTAACCTAGACATTGCCTGGAGGAAATTCTTGAGAAGCTAAGGGGAGTTGAGGATTTAAAAGCTTTGATCTGACAGAAGGTTGTTGGTAAATGTGGCTAAGTGCCAGAGTCCAGTTGTGTACTATATTTGCCGCTCAATCATGTTGTTCGAGCTTACAGTCCTGTCCTTTAAACCGAAAAGCACATCCAACCTACCCCAATAGTGGGGGAACTCATTCCGACAGAACTGAGGATTTTTCTCTTCCATTTATTAAAACAACATTTTTAGTTTGTGGAGATGAACACCTCATACCATTAAAGTACCAATAGTTAAGTAAATGAAAGTATTATTAAGGCCAAAAAAATGAGACTCTGGCATGGCCTAGTACTGTACCTGAATCACCCAGGTGAGGAAACAAATTTGACCCGGATAAACATGTATGCCACTCTATACAGACAGTCAGTACCCTGATTACAAATGCGTTCCATTCCCGAGTACGTTCCCCAGTCACCTTGTACGCAAATTGGAAGACAGAATAAAATACCCATTCACAAGTATGACTGAACATTCATATTTCAGATCCTTAAAATTAATCGTAATATGGGAACATATTTGTAAGTAAGTCGGACTTTTAGAAACTTGCAATAGGACTGAAACAAAATGTAGGTTTGGGCACTTTATGGTTTTGCATGTTATTAATACATGTCCATTACCAACAGATGTACTAATTTGACCTTCAAAATGATACAAATAAACTGAAACACAGAATATGTTCTTAATACTCAATAATGCATGAAATGCAGGATCACTAAGTTTAATTATGACCCTTGCTGAGATCAGCAAAACCAAAATCAAAACTGACATATTCATATTCAAGTTCATATGGTTCAATGCACACCATGTAATGGTTTAATCACCTGGCAAGAGAGTTGTGGTTGTTTATATTTACCCTCCCAGCAATATACAATTGCAAAAGGCCCTTCCCCGAACTGCATCATTGTACAGATCCATGCAGTCCTCTATGCATAAGTTGATACTGACCGGTTATTGAGTGTTAACTCCTGCTCTTGCCACCTCTCAAACTGTCCTGTTGTATCTGTGGGGCTCCGCAAAATATCCTTCACATTCAAGAAGAACTCCTGGAAAATAAATAGAGAAACAAATAAATAACCCATAGGATGTCTTGCATTCAAACCGTGTACACTCGGCACTAGGTGCTAGAGGCAAGATGCTAGCATGGATAGAAGAATGGCTCTCTGGCAGAAAGCAGACAGTAGGGTTAAAAGGGTCTTTCTCAGGATGGCAGCCAGTAACAAGTGATGTTCCACAAGGGTCAGTGTTGGGACCACAACTTTTCACTTTATACATTAATGATCCAGATGAAGGAACTGAAGGCATTCTGGCTAGGTTTGCAGATGATACAAAGATAGGTAGAGAGACAGGTAGTATTGAGGAGGTGGGGAGGCTGCAGAAGTATTTGGACAGGTTAGGACAGTGGGCAAAGTGGCAGATGGAGTACAACGTGGGAAAGTGTGAGGTCATGCATTTTGGTAAGAAGAATAGAGGCATGGACTGTTTTCTAAATGGGGTGAAAATTCAGAAGTCTGAAGTCTGGGAGTTCTAGTCCAAGTTTCTCATAAGGTAAACTTGCAGGTTGAGTCAGTAGTTAGGAAGGCAAATGCAACTTTGGCATTTATTTTGAGAGGACTTGAATATAAAAGCAAGGATGTACTTCTGAGGCTCCAAAAGGCTCTGGTCAGGCCATATTTGGAGTATTGTGCAGTTTTGGGTCCCAAACCTCAGGAACGATGTACTGGCCGTGGAGCGGGTTCAGAGGAGGTTCACGAGAATGGTCCCAGGAATGAAAAGCTTAACATATGAGGAATGTTTGAGGTCTCTGGGTCTATACTCGATAAAGTTTAGAAGGATGAGTGGGGATCTAATTTAAACTTACAGAATACTGAAAGGCCTGGACAGAATGGATGTTGGGAAGATGCTTTCATTGGTAGGAGAGACTAGAACCCAAGGGCACAGCCTCAGAGTAAAGGGAAGACCTTTTAGAACAGAGATAAGGAGAAACTTCTTCAGCCAGAGAGTGGTGAATCTAAGGAATTCAACACAGAGGGCTGGGGAGGCCAGGTCATTGAGTATATTTAAGACTGAGATAGATCAGTTCTCGATTATCAAGGGGATCAAGGGTTACGGGGAGAAAGCGGGAGAATGGGTTTGAGAAACTTATCAACCATGATTGAATGGCGGAGCAGACTCGATGGGTTGAATGGCCTAATTTCTGTTCCTGTGTCTTATGGTCGTTTTGCAGTTTTAGTCAAACTGCTTACTATCAGGGAATCCAAGTAAAACCATAAGAAGCACTCGGAATAAGGAAAGGAAGCTACAAAAGGGAACAACTAAGAAGTGTAAATGACAATGAACAATTCTGCAGGCATATTAGATATTGAATAGAAATTCAAACTAGTGCTCAGGCAACTTATTGATAGATAAAGCTTCTAGTGGACAGAATGAAAAAGATACTAAAAAAGTATTTTACCTAATTTTTATGAGGTGGCAGAAATTAGGAGTGTAGAACAATTAGAACTGGTGTAGTCAGTGGAGGATATTAATCAAACAGTCATGGTATTTAAACAAAAACATATCACTGCAGCTTGACGGTTTGCATCCTAAAACCTGATAAACTTGTATCGAAAGGGCACAAGTGGTAAACAAGAGAAACTGCACCAACAATGGAAAGTAGGTTACCTAGGAATTATGGGCCAGTTAGCTTCATTCAACTGTTAGCAGAGTACTAAGGAGTTGCATGACTAAACTTAGGTAGAAACATGTGCTTACCAATGTCAATCTGAACAGATTTCCCAAAAAATTAGGTTTGCAGTTAGCCAATTTTGCAGAAGTAACTGAAGAAATAAGGTATGGTTTTTTCAGCCATAGTGAACTGATAGGCTGGTAACTTTTTAAACTCCCTGTGCTCTATGCTTGTTGCAAAATAATTATACTGTAGTAAATGTCACAGGTATTGCAGTTGGATTCAGACACAAAAGAATGTGAAATGTTCAATGGAGAAACATTGTATACAAAGAACATAGAACTGTACAGCATAGGAATGGGCCCTTCAGCCAATGATTTTGTGCCAAACAGGACGCTAAATTAAACTATTCCTTTCTGCCTGCCCGTGACCCATATCCCTCCATTCCCTGCATATTCACGTGTTTATCCTTTAAATGCCCCTATCAAATCTGCCTTCACCGCTATCTCTGCAGCAAGTTCCTGACTCCTAACATTCTGTGTAAAAAAACTTTCTCCCCTCTCACCTTAAATGCACGCCTCCTAGTATTAGACATTTCAACCTCAGGAAAAAGATTCTGACTGTCAACCCTATCTACGCATCTCATAATTTTATAGACTTCTATCAAGTCTCCCCTCAGCCTGTGCCGCTCCAGAGACAATATCCCAAGTTTTTCTTGCCTCTCCTTCTAGCTCATACCCTCTAATCCAGGCAGCATCCTGGTAAACCTCTTCTGCATCCTCTCCAAAGCCTCTACATCCTTCCTATTATGTGGCAACCAGAACTGAACACAATATTCTAAGGGTGGCCTAACCAAAGTCTTACAAAGCTACAACATGATATCCTAACTCATGTACTCGGTTTCCCAAACAATAAAGGCAAGCATACCATATGCCTTCTTTACCACCCTAACTACTTGTGTAGCCACTTTCAGGGAACTATGGACTTGAACCCCAAAATCCCTCTGTACATCAGTGCTGTTCAGGGTCCTACCATTAACTCTGTACTTTTCCTTAACATTTGATTGCTCAAAGTGCAGCACCTCACACTTACCCGGATTAAACTCCACCTACCATTGATCTATATCCCACTGAATCCTTTGCCAACTTTTTATGCTACCCACAACTCCAATGATCTTTGTATCATCTGCAAACATACTAACCCACCCATCTACATTTTCATCCAAGTCATTTATATATATCACAAGTAGCAGAGGTCCCAGTATGGATCCCTGTGGAAAACCACTAGTCACGGACCTCCAGCCTGAAAATACACCCTTTTGCCAATACCCTCTTTCGTCTATGGCAAGCCAATTCTGAATCCATGCAGCTCAGTCACCGTGGATCCCATGCATCTTAATCTTCTAGACAAGCCTACCATGAGGGACCTTGTCGAAAGCCTTACTAAAATCCACGCAGACAACATCCACTGCTCTACCCTAACGGAATTTTTCAAGGAGGTGACAAAGGTGATCAATCAAGTTAGTAAGACACAACCTGCCCTGCACAAACCCATGCTGACTGTCCCTAATTAGGCAATGTTTTTGCAAATGTGCGTAAATCCTATCACTAAAAATTCTCTCTAATAGGTTCCCAAACACTGATGTGAGATTCACCAGTCGATAGTTTCCTGGATTATCTCCATTTCTTGAACAGAGAACAACATTAGCCACTCGCTAGCCCTCCAGGACCTCTCCAGTGGCAAGTGAGGATACAAAGATCTTGGTCAAGGGCCCAGCAATCTCCTCTCTGGCCTCTCTCAACAACCTGGGGTAGATACTATCAGACCCTGGGGACGTAATCACCTTAATGCTCTTCAAGAAACCCAACACCATTTCTTCCTTGATCTGAAAATGCCCTAGCATATTAGCATGCTCCACACAAATCGCACTATCCTCCATATCGTTTGCTGGATGAATACCAACGCAAAGTACTCAGTTAGGATCTGACCCACATCCTCTGCCCCCAAGTGCAAGATCCCTCCTTTATCCTTCAGTGGTCCTACCTACTCCCTATTAATCCTCTTGTTTTTAAATGTACATATAGAATGCCTTGGGATTCTCTTTAACCCTACTTGCCAAGGTCATTTCATGGCCCCTTCTTGCTCTCCTAATTCCCTGCATGAGTTCTTTCCTTCTTTCCTTATAATCCTCATGGGCCCTGTCCGATTATAACTTCCTGAACCTTAATTATGCATCTTTTTTTCCTTTTGACTAAATTCACAACCTCCCTCGTTATCCAAGCACCCTGACTTTGCCAACCTTGTCCTTCCTCCTTACTGGAACATGCCGGTCCTGAATGCTCATCAACAGGTCTTTAAACAATTCCCACATGTTAAATGTGAACTTGCCTGATAACAGCTCCCCGCAAGCTCCTGCCTAATACTGACGTAATTTGCCCTCCCCCAATTCAGTACCTTGCCAAAAGGTCCTGACTTATCCTTACTCATAGTGATCTTAAAAACTTAAGGAGTTGTGATCACTGTTTCCAAAATGCTCTCCTACTGAAAGGTCTGTCATCTGGCCAGGCTAATTAGCCAAAGCAAGGTCCCGTTTGGGTCCTCCTCCAGTTAGACTATCCACACACTGTTTCAAGAAACCCTTTTGAATGCACTTAACAAATTCTGCCTTGTCTAAGCCTCTTGGTGTAAGGGAGACCCCAGTCAAATGTTGGGAAAGTTAAAGTCACCCACTATGACAACTCTTTTTATTGCACCTTTCCATAATCTGCCGACATATTTATTCCTCAATGTCTTGGTGGCTGTTGGGGGGCCCTATAGTATAATCCTATCAGAGTGATTGCAACCATCTTATTTTTGAGTTCTACCCATGTTGCCTCTAAATGAGCTCTCCAGTATGTCCTGTCTGAATGCAGATGTAAATTTCTCCCCGATTAGCAATGCAACTCCTCCACCTCTTTTACCTTTCTCTTGATCTTGTCTAAAACAACAAAACCCTGGAATGTTGAGCAGCAAGTCCTGTCCTTCTTTCAATCAAGTCTCAGTAATGGCCACAGCATCATAGTCCCATGTACTGATCCAGACTCTAAGATCATCTGCCTTACCTGTAATACTCCTTGTGTTGAAATAGACACACAACAACCCATTAGTACCATGGTGTTTATTTACCTGTCTCTGCTTGCCCTTTCTTTCCGATTTACTGGTCCTAACATCTACCTTCCCCTCAATCCCTCCACTTGCTGACCTATATTGCACTACATTCCCTGTAATGTTCAACTTGGAACTGTCGCAAATGTACTTTCAGATACTTTTGCAACAAAAAAAAAAACAACAACAATTAGAGGGGCACGTGAGAGAAGGACCTCAAAACAGGCAGCCAGA